AAAGGATGACCCAGCAAGCAGCACTTTCAAGCTATCAAATAGAAAAATGTACACTGGGCCTTCTATCTGTGGGCCTCCTCTTGAATGTTCTCTTCTCTTTATCCGAATCAGAATCTTACTCAGGCCTGGCTTCAGTCCACGTCGAGCACTCGCTTCCATGCATAACCTATGCCCACGGTCAAGGCCTTAATTAATTTTCTTTCATACTCCCTGCAAGTACAGCATATATCTGACCTCTCAGAGGTTCAAGATCCAACACATCCCTTCTGGTGTCATACCGCCAATAATGCTTCATTTGGATTACTTGTCTGTCATTGTCTTGATTCTTCACCTGAACTGCAAGCACCTTGCTGTCCCAGAGAGACTTGAATTATATTATTTTTAAATCCCTAAGCCTTGGCATAGCAGGACCCAGGAAATACTGTAGGTGGATTTTGTTTACTGTTTACTTCCCGCCTAAGCACCTCCTTTCTTGAGAAAGGGAAATGGCTGATGTTACTTGTTCGCCTCGAAGCTCTTTATCGGATAACTCGTGCTCAATACGTAATCCAAAGCACAAATTGGTTGATTTTTCTTCTCTCACCCCTGGCCTAGTTCCATGTCTAGTTAAAATTTCCTACCAGAGCTTCCAGACTTCAGTTAAATCAGTTCAGTATCTCAACACTAAATGATTTGTTTAAAAAGTCCTTTTTAACCTCAGGTTGTAGATCCTAACTCTTTCAAAAACTGAGACTGGGTAGATATGCTTAAAGAATAAAGTCTAAGAAAATGCTATCTCTGGATGGTGGAATTATGGTTGTTTAACTTTTTTGTATTTTTAAAAATAAACTTGTATAGCTTTGATCGCTTTAACAATTCTGGGAAAAAAATAACTACAGTTCAGGCCTATTTGGATTTATATAGAACAGAGGGAGAATGCTGCTAATTTTGGCCATACTTTTTATCATAATGTAAGTTAATTCATAATATTTAGATTTATGGAAATTTTTTTAAAAATATATAAAAAATCACTGTTCACATTTTTATATACTTATTTTTACAGTTGTGGGCTCATACTGTTTATACTGTCTTATAGATTTTATTTTACTTAATTATGTATCATAAATATTCTTTTACAATGTTAGGAATATGCTATGCATTATGACTTTTAATGGGTGCCCAGAATTCTGTTTTGGACTATAAGTTTAGTGAGTCCTTCATCATTGCATATTTAGGTCTCTTCCAAACCTTTACTCATATAAATAAGTACTATCGTTTGAAACACAAAAATATTTACCTATAATATATTTATATTATATTTATATAACAAGTATTATAAAAAAGATAACCATTTGCCTCTGGACCACTTAGTTTATTACTTATGTAATGAAGACTCTAAATTGAGTTATGGGAATAAACGATAATAATGCTCCTTAGTCATGGATCACTGTTACCCAAATGACTCATTCAGACATGCAGTGCTGTGCTGGCACTTTCATGGATTATCAAACTATAAATTCTTAGTCTGTTGGGGTTTTTTTAAACCCTGAGTTTTTATTTGAAAAATTTTGACATCTACAAAGTAGTTAAAAGAATAGGACAGTTAACAGTGATATGTTCTCTGGGTTCACCAATTGTAAACAATTAGTTTTTAATGGAAAAATCTTCATAAAAACCAGGTTTTTAAAAAATACAGATAAACAGGAAACATTGAAAGAAATAAGCTAAATAGATAGCTTATGTGTTATATGGACTTATTCGCCAAATGATCATGTCATCACAGTTGAGGGCATTCTCTACCATTTATCATGTTGACATATGCCAACCCGTCCACTCAGAAGTGTGTCTTAAAGGCAACCATACAGAACACAGTGTTGGACTCTGAGGGCCACTTCTAGTAAACACACCATGGATGTGCCCTCCAAGGTGATTGGAACTGGGGATTATCCTGCCATCTCAGTGGTTCTTGTTTTACTTTTCACCATGGAGGACACCGTGCTTCCCAATGACACCTTAGCACTTTTCCCCAAATAAATAAATCAGTACAGTCACTGCTGCAAAAACTATTTGGGGATTTTTTCTTGAGTTCAGGAATATTTTTCTTCTTCCCATCACCCCAATTACATTTAAAATTCAGAGCAGTATCATTTCATCAAATAATTAAGCTGATTGCCTTTGTACATTAACAACATAATTTCCCATCTAATTTGATATTCTGTAGGAAGCTGCAAAACCATTTTAATAAAATGAGATATCTTTTATATTGGACATTGTTAATGATTAACAGCAACATGTGCCCTATTTTGGTTTTGTTTTAAGTCGTCTGTTAGCTTCAGTAGTTAGTAACTGTAAATAAAATTCAAGGCCCTGCCAGAAGTGTGGACCAGTTATGACCCTACAGAAAAGTGTTTGCGAGTCAGATAGGCATGGATTTAAGTCTTGTGTCTGCTCCCTACTCATAGCATCTCCATAAATAATTATCTTACCTCTCTTGTTTTTTCGTTTATAAAACACTTAGTATAAAAGACTTAGTATAAAGCTATAATAAGTGGTGTGGTATTGGCAAAGGGTTAAACACATAGATCAGTGGAATAGAATAAAGTCCGGAAGTAGACCTACACAAATATGACCAATTGATTGTCAAAAAAATTGCAAAAGCAATTCAATGGAGAAAAGATAGCCTTTTAAATGAATGGCGCTGAAATAATTGGACTTCCAATCCTTGAAAAAAATATACAGGCTGCCTTTTAAGTCCTAAGAGGAACAGAAACACAAATAAAATTATACAAGGGTCTCTAATTCCTATTAATATTAAAGAAAATAGCTATTTTAAAGAATAATTTTTAGATAGCTTCCACAAACTAGTCAATCATGTAGAATTTAATAGAAAGTAAAGATTTTAAAATCATAGGTGAATTAAAACACTTCAAAGATTAGACAAACTAAAAATAAATAAATAAATAGATAGATAAATAAATAAATAAATGATAAGATCATAGATACAGTTTACTGAATGTCACTGTATCTAAAAATATACAAAATATTCCAAACAATATAAAAGCTATCCAAACTAGCCTTATTCCAGTATCTTATTCTTAATGGCTGCTAATGAAGGATCTTGAAAACAGTGTTAATAAGATCTCTTCATTATTTGCAACATTGTTGTGAACTCTTTCTTATGAATATATTAAAAAACAGTCATACTTTCTTAGGAGAACTTTTAGTACCCTTTAAAGGAAAGTCAAATGAATAATCAGAAGCAAGGTAAGGATTCTCATTCTCTTCCCTCGTGTGGCTTATTTTTGGTTATTTAGGACCTTGTGGAAGAGCTCTCCTAGGGTCCCCAGGCTATACAATGAATTAGTATTTCTAGTGAACCTGCAAAGCATTATTGGGGAAATTACTCTTGATCTCTAAAAACAGAAGCACCGCTTTTACTGTTTTGGCTACAGAGCTGTGACAGAGAGCATCAATCAACTTATCACTCTGTGCACCCACAAGCTCCTG